CCGCAGTTTGGAGCCCAGGGACACTGAGCCGTTCCAATAAAAGATTCAGTTCCTGTTTAGGATCCAGAGTTGGCTCCCTGCCAGGAAAAACAAAGTGAAATGTGCAGCAGCTGCTGAGGGAGGAAGGAGCGATGATCTCAGAGAGAGAGGGGGAATGGGGGAGATTAGAGAGTGATGGGGGTGAAGGAGAACCCACTATCCAGGAAACCCAGGTGAGAGAGACTTCCCCCCTCCACTGACTGCTCCTGCCATGGAGCCCAGAACGGTTTGGGCTGGGAGGGACCTTAAAGCTCATCCCGTCCCACCCCTCTGCCATGGGCAGGGATGTCTTCCAGCAGCCCAGGTGGCTCCAAACCCTGTCCCACCTGTCTGGGAACACTCCTGGGGACCGGGCAGCCACATCTGTGGGTCCTCACCTGCCCGGGGCCATCTCTGAGCTCCGCTGCTGCTGCCTCACCAGGGCTCCATGTGCTCTCCTTCCCCTGCTCCAGAGTGTGTCTCTTCCCATGGGGTCAGCCCTTCCCCTGCTCTGGAGTGGGGTCTCTTCATAGAATCATAGAATTGAGTCATAGAATTATCAAGGTTGGAAGAGATCTTTAAGATCATCCAGTCCAACTGCCTCCCTGAGCAACCTATTCCAATGCCTGCCCACCCTAACAGTGAAAAAAAATTTTCTGATGTCTAATCTGAATCTCCCCTGTCTCAGCTTAAGCCCATTTCTTCTTGTTCTCCCACTCCAGGCACAGTAGAAGAGACCGGCCCCCACCTCACTAAATCCTCCTTTCAGGCAGTTGTAGAGAGCAATGAGGTCCCCCTGAGACTCCTCTTCTCCAGACTAAACAAACCCAGCTCCCTCAGCTATTCCTTGTAGGACATGTTTTCTAGTCCCTCCATGAGCTTTGTTCCCTTTGTCTGGACATACTCCAGCCCCTCAATGTCTCTCTTGCAGTGAGGGGCTCAGAACCGGACACAGCACTTGAGGTGGGGCCTCACCAGTGCCCAGCACAGAGGGACAATCACTGCCCTGGTCCTGCTGGCCACACTATTCCAACAGGCCAGGTGCCACTGGCTTGTTGGTCACCTGGGTACACATGTTCAACCAGCACCCCCAAGTCCCTTCCTGCTGAGCAGCTCTCAAGCCACTCTGCCCTCAGCCTGGAGTGTTCCATGAGGTTCTTGTGAGCCCAGTGCAGGACCTGACACTTGACCTTATTGATCCAGCCTGTCCAGGTCCCTCTGCAGGGCCTTCCTGCCCTCCAGCGCACCAACACTCCCACCCAACTTAAGGTCAGCTACAAATTCCCTGAGGGTGCACTCGATGTTAAACAGGACCAATCCCAACACTGAGCCCTTGGGAACTCCACTAGTGACTGACCCCACCTGGATTTAGTTCCATTCCCCACCATTCTCTGGGCCTGGCCATCAGCCATTTTTTTCCCAGCAAACCGTTCCCTCATCAAAGCCACAAGCAGCCAGTTTCTGTAGGAGATGCTATGGGAGATGGTGTCAAAAGCTTTAGTGAATTCTAGAGAGACACATCCCCAGGCTTTCCCTCAGCTACTGAGGGGGTCATTTTGTCATAGAAGGAGTTCATTCAGTCAAGCAGGACCTTCCTTTCCCAAACCCAGTCTGGCTGGACCTGATCCCCTGGTTGTCCTGCACATGCCATGTGATGGCACTCAGGAGGATCTGCTCCATGGCCTCCCCTGGTACCGACGTCAGGCTGACAGGCCTGGAGTTCCCCAGATCCTCCTTCCAACCCTTCTTGTAGATGGGCATCACATTTGTTGATTCCCAGTCAGCTGAGACTTCTCCAGTTCTCCAGGACTGCTGGTAAATGAGTGAGAGTGGCTTGGCCAGCTCTTTCTCCAGCTCCCTCAGTACTCTCAGGTTCATTCCATCTGGGCCCAGGCACTTGTGGGGGTCTCACTGGCAGAGCAGGTTACTGATCATTTCCTCCTCGATTATGGGGGCTTCACTCAGCTCGCCATCACCAACTTCCAGCCCTGGGACCTGGGTATCCTGAGGACAACTGGCTTTGGTGTTAAAAGACTGGGGTAAAGGCGGCATTAGGTCCCTCAGCCTTTTCCTCCTCCCCTGACACTGTGCTGCCCTCTACATTCAGCAAAGGATGGAGAATCTCCTGAGCCTTCCTTTTGCTGCCAAGGGATTTATAGAAACTTTTCTTGTTGACTTTAAGTGCAGTGGCCAAATTCATTTCTAATTTGGCTTTGGGCCTTCAAATTTTCTCCCTGCATGACCTCACTACATACTTATATTCCCTCCAAGTTTCCACCCCTGTTACAATCTGCTTAAATGTTGCAGAAAGAACTTCAGATTCGAATATTCCCCTGAGCAAAATCAAAACTCACACAAGTTATCTGTTGATACCAAAACCTGATTTTATTAGTTGCTAAGAGATGCAAAGAGGAAGAGGAAAAAATAAGAAAAGGTTGGAAAAAGGTAAGATTACTTCTAGAAGCAAAGATACCACCATACTATCTTTCTGCCAAGCTAGTGTGTGTGTGGGGGAGAAGCGGTTTATACCTTTTTCTTTCTCTGTCTCTGCTGCTTTTTAATGTTATCTCTTAGCTGCTGGGGGTGGTCTTAGCAGCTTAGTTCTCTGGAAGGCAGCCAGGATGTGTGGCCTTGCTGCTCACATTGAGCTGTGTCCCAGTCCATGCAGGGTCCCAATTCAACAGCACCTTTCAGCCGTCAGAAATATGATCAGGGTAGAGGGATAAGATATAACTCATGCACGTGCACAGGGGGCATCAGTTCTTCTCCAGGCTGGCAGAGTTTCAGTCTCCAGTGGCAGGCAGGCAGCACACAGTGGCAGAGAAAAGGTGATGGGAGATGGGGAGAGATTCTCAGCTAGGGTAACTGGTTCTTTGATAACCATAAGCAATGGCAGGATCTTTTGGCAGGAAAACTCCAGCAGCAAGCTCTGGTGAGAACTTCTGGCAGAAAACGGACAGAGAATTTTTGGTAGGAAGTTTTGACAGGTAGAAACAATGGCAAAACATTATTTCTGGCATTTCTATATTATCTGGTTGTTACAATTAAGCAAGTTAAGTAATTAATTAAAAAAATATTAATTATTATAATATGTAGTTAAAACATATAGATAGACTATTTTAGATTTATTATGAAGACAGACTTACATAAGATAGATAATACTATATTTACATATTATAATAATTACCATATTTATAGGGCACATAAATAGGTGCTTGCAGTTAGACTATAGGAATTACAGAATGCAAGACATAAGATTAGGAAGATTTACTGAAGTTTCCATTTAAGTACCCATTCTCTCTACCTGTCTCTTTACCTCACATTTATTGTTAAATAAAGTCTGTACTAAATAAAATCCGCCTGTTGTCAGCAAATGGTCCCATTTACACCTTAATTCAGGCTGAGGCATCTCTCCCTAATGGGATCAGAACACCTGGGCAGGGACACCTTCCACCACACCAGCTGGCTCCAACCCCGTCCAACCTGGCCTCGGACACTTCCCACGGTGGGGCAGCCACAGCTTCTCTGGGCAACCTGGCCCAGGGCCTCACCTCCCTCCCAGGGAACAATTTCTCCCCAAAAGTCTCATCTCCCAGAGGTCACTCCCTGGGGCCAGGCTGCAGTGTGTTCCTCCCCAGCATTGCCTGCCTGCAGCAGCCTGGGGCGACACAGGAGGGCTTCCCCTCGCCCATCCCCTGCTGGAGCAGCCCGTTCCTGAAGGATTGAGCCCATGCAAGGGACCCACACTGGATCGAGTCCCACACTGGAAAGAGTCCTTTCCCTGCTCCAGCGTGGGCTTCCTCCTGTGGCAGACAGTTCCCCGGGAACTTCTGCTGCAGGAGTCCTTCCACAGGAGCAGTCCTTAAGGAATCGATCCAGTGGAGGTGCCTGTGGCAATGCAGTTTCCTAGGAAATTACAAAGAAAGGAAAGACAGAACACTGCTCAAATTACTTCAGGATTTGTGTCTTTTCTATTGAAATTTTTAAGGCAGGAGAAAAGAATGTACAGATGTCATTTTTTAGCTACTCTAGATAGTTATGCATTTCAAAACTCAGGTACCACTTGGGGATCTGTGAGGAGGGACTGCTCAGCTCCCAGCTCTCCCAGTAGGAGAGTTCCCAGTTGCGGGTGGGAGGGCAGGTGTGTGCGTTCTCTCCAAAGGCAAACTGAACCTGCCCCTTGAACCCGACTCACCAAGAACTGGCATCCAAACACATTTGCCCCAGGACTGTGGAGCCTGTCCGGCCAAGCCTGCACAGACACACTCTGAGCCTGACTATTGCCAGGGAGTCACCTTTGTTAGGAAGCAAGCACAGTTTTGACGTGGGCAAACAAGTCCTTTTTAGCTGTTTTCACAGCTCTTTGGTCCACCCAAAAATCTTTCCAAAGGCAACTTCTAAGTGTTCCACTGGGGAAACGTGAGCGGTCCAGAGCTGCAGCCATGGGAAGAACGTGGGACAGTGTGAGAGCTCAACCTGTGGGGATAAAACGAGAGTCAAGAAGTCAAGAGATATCAAGAACTGTGCGACTGGGAAGACGACATTGCCCAAGAGCTTTCTAATATTCTGTCTTCTATAATTCTTATCATCTAACTGAAAGAACCTATCTATATGTCCTATAAATATATTTACTATGATATTTAAATGTAGTCTTATCTATCTTATGTAAGTCTATCTTCCTAATAAATCTACCTAAATATTATAAAGATATATTATAATGATTATAATTAAATTGATTAATTACATAACTAGCTTAATTACATAAATTAGCTCCCTGACTTAACCATCTTTGGTTTGTTTTAAAGTAATCATATTTGTTGTCATCCTGCAGGGAGGTTCTGGGAGCAAGAGGTCCTGTCTTTGCTCATTCCCTGCAGGAGTAGTCAGGCATTGGAATCAGTGTCTCAGGTGGGTGGTGGTGTCAGTGTCTGTGTTGGAAGCACTGCAGAGGTGTCTGGGCCCGCCTGGCGCTGGAGCGGGGCCTAATCCTGGGGCTGTCCCGCCGTGCAGGAGCGGAACAGCCTGCGCAGAGCCCCGAGCGCCCGCCTGAAGCGGGAGAGACGTTTGGTGGGGACAGGCAGCTGCCTGCTGAGGGCCTGGGCCTCCAGCTGGGGAGGCGAGGGGCTGGGGGGGCAGCAGGGGCTGCGTGGGGCAGGGACCGGGCTCTGTGTCCCTGCCCATGGCACCTGCTTGTCGAAGGCAGGAGAAGCTTCAGTCCCTCCAGGGGACAGGGCTTCCAGCTGGGGAGGTGAGGCGCAGAGCGGCACTTGTGTGCACGGGGCAGGTGCCCGACTCTCAGCCCATGCCTGGTGAGGGACGGGCACTGGGAGCCCCTCTGCTGCAAGAATTCTCAGCCTGTCTTCTGTGCCTTGTCCTTCCTTGGGACAGCTCCAGCATGCTCAATTCTTCCCACTCGTCCTCCTCCGGGAGCAAGGGCTTGACCCCAAGCTGGGGACGCTCATGTGTTCCCCGTCCGCCAGTGCCAGCTCTCTGTCGCTGTCATCTTCCCATCGGGACAGCCAGGAGGGTGTATAGTCTTCCCAGTCGGAAAAGTCCTGGCCCAAGGAGTCTTCATCCTGGCCCAGCTCTTGGGCAATGGAGTCCTCCCAGTCGGACGGGAGTTCTTGGTAGTTACTGAATTTTCTTTGGGGCTGCCCTTTCATGCTGCATTCTTCCAAGTTGATGACTTCTGGGGAGCTACTGCCTTTTCTGTGGGATTGCTCCTCCTCACTGGAGTTCTCCCAGTTGGACAGTTCTTTGTGCCTCTTGACTTCTTGGGATTGCTCTTCCTCGCTGTATTCTTCCTGGTCGGGCAGTTTTTGGTAGCTACTGCCTTCCCCTTTGGACTGCTCTTCCTCACTGTGTCCCCCCCGTTGGACACTTCTTGGTAGCTCTTCACTCCTCCATGGGACAGCTCTTCCTCACCGTATTCTTCCCAGTCAGACACTTCTTGGCCTCTACTCTCTTCTCCTTGGGACTGCTCCTGCTCGATGTTTTCTTCCCAGTCGGACACTTCTTGGTAGCTCTTCACTTCTCCTTGGGGCTCCTCTTCCTCGCTGTATTCTTCCCAGTCAGACAATTCCTGGTAGCTCTTGACTTCTCCAGGGGACAGCTCCTGCTCAATGCAGTCTTCTCCCTGGGACACTTCATGGTATGTGTTAATGTTTCTTGGGACAACTCTTGGTCTCCCTCATCTCCCCACTGGGAAATGTCTTGCTCAACGTAGTATTTCCAGCCTATGCCCTCCCCAGGGAAGGGCCCCTCGTCAGTGTCTTGCACTGCCAGGACTGAGTCCCCTCCTGCTCCCTCTTCCTGCTCGCTGAGGGCCTGGGCTTTCACCTGGGAAGGTGAGGGGTTGCTGGGGGAGCAGGGGCTTTGTGGGGCAGGGACTGGGCTCTCTGTCCTTTCTGCTGGAACTGTTGTTACTGTGTCTGTATCCATGGTTTGTTCCAGGTTTCTCTCGTCCTCTGGCTCCTGGCTGGATCCCTGGATCTCAAGCTCAGGCTCGCTCAGGATCTCACGGGTGATGGACTGGTCTGTGTCCAACAGGGCCTTGCTGCCCTCTGAGGGGCTGTGTGGGGCAGGGACCAGGCTCTCTGTCCTGTCTACTGTAATTGTTGTTATCTTTTCTGTAGCCGTGCTTTGTTCTGGGACCCTCTGTTCCTCCAGCCAGCAGCTGAGCACATGCTCAGCCTTCCTCATGATCTCCCTGAAGAGGCAAAAGGCCATGTCCAGCAGATCCTGGCTGCTGTCTGGGGGGCTCTGCGGGGCAGGGACTGGGCTCTCTGTCCTTTCTGCTGTAAGTAATGGTACCATTTCTGTAGCCGTAGTTTGTTCCAGCTCTCTCTGTTCCTCCAGCTCCTGACTGGATCCCTCAATCACAGGCTCAGCCTTCCTCATGATCTCACATGTGATGGACTGCTTTGTGTCCAGCAGGGCCTCACTGCCCTCTGAGGGGCTGTGCGAGGCAGACACGGGGCTCTCTGACTCTGGTGCTCTTACGGTTTCTTGCATTTCTGCATTCCTGGTTTGTTCCAGGTCTCTCTGTTCCTCTGGCTCCTGGATGGATCCCTGGATCACAAGCTCAGCCTTCCTCACGATCCCACATGTGATTGTCCTAGTTAGGACAGCTGAGACCAGTTCACCATGGTATGGGTGTAACCCAAAACTGTGTATTCTATAGCCTTCCATGCCATTTCCCAGAAACTGTTAGCAGTAGAGGCCTGTAGATGTTCCTGTCCTCATACCCTTTTATGGAATTCCCCGCTCTGAGGGAAGGACTAAGCATTCCTGCCTGAACTGGAGAATATATAAACTTGGAGTTTTGGAACCTTTTTACCACTCGTGGGATCCAGAGGAGGACTGCAGCTCACCGCTCTGGGCCAGACTGAGACCACCCCCCTCAACTGGACTGCAATCACCACTTTGACCGGCCTGCAACAGCTCTCCCACCAGCAGGTTTTTCCACTCTCCCTTTACTTTGGACTCAGGGGGGAGGCGGGGAACACTGTTTTGTTCATGTCCCAGGGTGCTGGGTTGTACATTTGGGTTTTTGTGGATTGAAGCCAGTTGTTTGTCTGTATAATCATACTTGTGTTGTTTTATTAAATTGTTATTCTGACTTGTGGTCTCTCTTTTGAGTTGAGTTCATTTCCCCTGCTGGTTTACCTTTAAACCAGCACAGTGATGTACTGCTTTGTGTCCAGCAGGGCCTCGCTGCCCTCTGAGGGGCTGTGTGGGGCAGGGACCAGGCTCTGTGTCGCTGCCGATGGCAACTGCTCTCCAAAGGTATGAGAACCTTCTGCCTCTTCCTCAACAGAGGCAGAGGCCCCTGGGGGCAGCACCTGCTGGCTCGGTGTCCGTGGCACTCACCGGGGCAGGAGCTGGACTGGGCAGGTCACGGGCTGTCTCTGCTGCCACCTCTGCTGCCACCTCTGTGCCCACACTGCTGGCAGAGCCGGACCCCTCCTGGGGAACAATCGGGGTCCCCAGCATTCAGCGGGCACCAGGGTTTGTCCCAGGTGCTGTAACCGACATCATCTCCCCACTGGGACAGCTTTTTCTCACTCCTGTCTTCCCTTTGGGGCAGTTCTTGGGCACTGTAGTCTTCTTGACATTGCTCCTTGTCTGCCTTGTCTCCCACTTGGGAGAGCTCTGGGTCTCTTGTCTTTCCAATGGTACGGTCCATCCCCTTGCAGATCTTCTTCCCACTGAGGCAGGTCATGGTATCTCTCACCTTCCCACTAGGACAGCTCTGGGACTGCCACATCTCCCCATTGGGAAAGTTCTTGGCCTCTCAAATCTCCCCATTGGGACAGCTCTTGATATGTCTCTTCTTCTTCCCTTTGGGACACCTCTTGCACTGTCACATGTTCTTCCCATCGGGTCAGCTCCTGGTATCTCACACCATCTTCTTCCCATTCGTACAGCTCCTGGCGTCTCACAGGTTCTTCCCGTTGGTACAGCTCTGGGTGTCTCCCATCCCGCCATTGGGAAAGTTCTCAGACTCTCCCATCTTTTTCAAATTCGTAGAGCTCTTGGTGTCTTCTGGCTCCCCGTTGGGAACGTTGTTGGACTCTCACTTCTTCTTCCCATGGGTAGAGCTCTTGGGGTGTCACGTCTTCTTCCCACGCGGCAACATCTGCGCATTGGGAAAGGTCTGGATGGGTGTCGTATTTCCAGTCATCGTCCACGTGAGCAAAGGCCCCCTCCTCAGTCTCTGACAGTGGCAGGTCTGAGCCGCCCACTGCCCCCAGCCATTGCCCACTGAGTGCCTGGTTTTGTAGCCAGCTGGGCAAGGGGTTGGGGGGCTGGGAGTTGGGGGTGCCCTTGTCCTCATCCATCTCTGTTGTCCTCTGCTCGAGAGGGATGCAGGGAGCTGCTTCCTCCTAAGAGCACGGCTCTCCTGGCGGTGGGTACCCCAGGGCTCTGTGCCCCTTAGATACCCCTGGGGCAGGGCGGGTCTCTGTGACCTCACAAGGCTCTCCAGGCACCACCAATGTCCCGCATCACAAAGGGCCCTGAAAGGCACCTGCATCACAAAGGGCCACACCTGGCACCCCATGGGCAGCGGAGAGGACTGGCACCCCATGGGCAGGGGAGAGGACTGGAACTGGCCCTGGGCACCCCCAGCATTTGTGGACTTGTAGCCCCTGCTGCGCCCAGAGCCCTGGCTCCAGGGGGGAATGTCCTTCCAGCATGAAGTGCTGGAGAAAGCACAGGGCAAAACAGTCTCTCCCCTCCCTTCAGGCACTCCTTCTTTTTATCCAAGTGTTCTACAAAAATAAAGTGGCCGCTTAACAGGTTTGAGTGCAGGCACTGCCCTGAGTTAGTGCTGCCAGTTGAGCCCCCATCCCTGCAGGGCTGTGTGCGGGTGCCAGGGGGAGCAGGGTGCTGTGGCAGTAGGATGTGTGTGCAGGGTCCAGGTTGAGGGTGATGCTCAGGAGCAGGTGCCACGCGGGCACTGCCGTGCTGGCAATGCTGGTGGGAACAGGAGGCCCGTGCAGGGTCCTGCTGGGAGTCTGCAGCACCTGCAAATGGGCCCTGGGTGTGTAGGGCACGGGGGCAAGCGCAGCACTCGGGTGAGGGGATGTGTGTGTGGGGCACCCAGGAGACCTGTGTGCTCCTGCAAGCAGGGGCATGCTGTCACCAACAGCCCTGTGCACCTTCAGGGCCCTGGTGTGGGGTTGTGGGGCAGGTGTGCTGGTACAGGTGCTCTGGTACAGGTGCTCTGGTACAGGTGTGCTGGGTGCAGGTGGGCTGAGCACAGGTGTGCTGGGTGCAGGTGTGCTGGGTGCAGGTGTGCTGGGCACAGGTGTGCTGGGTGCAGGTGTGCTGGGTACGGGTGTGAGCCTGCGAGTGGGGCATGTGTACAGAGCAGGGCTGTGAGCTCGGGCACGCTGTGCTAGCCGGGCACCGCAGGCAGGCTGTGACCGTGCCAGGCCGTGGGGGGTGTGCACAGCACCGCTCGGAGCACCAGTGCCCTGGGAGTGTGAAGGGCAGCGTCGGGAGCGCCTGGCAGAGTGCTGCTCTCTGGGAGTGTGCAGGGCAGCCTGCAAGGGCACTGCACACACCTCACTGCTGCTCCTTGGCTTCCCTCCCTCACCAGTGTTAGGATTCTCACTGTGCAGCCCTATTTACTTCTTCCCAGTTCAACGAGCGCTGGGACAGCGCTCTCAGGGACATGGTGGGATTGTTGGGGTGTCCCATGCAGGGAAGGAAGTTAGACTCAATGATCCTTGTGGCTCCCTTTCAGCTCAGGGCAGTCTGTGATTCTATGAGTTCATAAATCTTATTTTAAACTGCATTTTAACCCTTGGAGAGGGAAAGGCTTGATAACTCCGGGCACAAACAAGATCCTGAGACGAACTTGGGGAACAGCAGTAGCAGCTTCCCTCCTTCAGCACTCTTCCTGCTCCTCAGAAGGGCTGGCCTGAGTTACAAACACTTTAACTCCCCATCTCCTGAGCCATTGACCTCCCTGCAGAAACAATTAACAGCAGAGTCCATCAGTGCTAATTGTGGTGCATCTGCATCAAGAAAAAATCTCAGTTCCATAGTAGGAAAGACAACTGGTCTTGGAAACAAAGGCCTCTTGTTGGCATCAGATCTTTGTTGGATTTTTAATTCCTTTTAGTTCTTAGTTGTGATTTTGGTTGTTCAGGGAAACTGCAAGATGTTCTTTATTTGGGAATGCTCATCAGGAATACATATTACTGTGTCTCTCCCTTTTTACTTAAGAGATTGTGCTGGTTTAAAGGTAAACCGGAGAAATTAATCCAACTCAGAATATAAATCAGAGTTACAACTTAATAAAAATAATACAATAAGTACAATTATGTGGACAAACAATTGCTTTTAACCCACAAAACCCAGATGTATAACCCAGCAGCCTGGGGCACGAACAGAATGGTGTTTGTTGGCCCCCGTGCTGAGCCCCACGTGGTTCCCCTGAGTCCAAAGTAAGAGGAAAGGTTAACCTGTTGGTGAGAGTGGTGGTCACAGTCTGGTCGAGGTTCTGGTCCTCCTCTGGATCCAATGAGTGGGCCAGAAGTCCCAAGACCCCAAGATTATATACCCTCAGGTTCCAGTGGGAATGCCCAGTACCTCCCCCAGGATGGGGAGTTCCACAATGGGTGATTTTGAGTCCTGAGATATTTTTTGAATCCTTGGTGGCCCGTTAGCAGCCATGACCTCTCAGGCTGGGTGTGGAGGTGCTAATGACTCCCTGGAGGGGAGTTAACATCACCCATAACTACAGCCTGAGGGGTCAGGTGTGCTCTGGGCAGCTGCTGCAAATGGTCTATTGTTAACAGTTCCTGGGAAATGACATGGAGGGTGTAGAACAGACAGGTTCGAGGCTCTGGTTCTGAACCCAGGGCCCAGGTGTGCTGCTGCTGGAAATGCTCATTCACTTAAAATCCAGGATTCCCAGGACTCTGCCCTGAGATTTTGTGTAGAGCTCGCTGGGTAATTCAGCTGCTCTGCTCTGGGTTGCACTTTGGCTGCTGTTTCCTGCCTTTGTTGAAACTAGGCAGTCAGTGTATTTGCCACTGTGCAGCAGGAAATCACAGGAGGTGCAAACACCCTAAAAATCATCTCAGTCTTCCGGCAGCACGAGCACTTCCCAACACAGTGAGCCCAGGGAGTGCAGGGGGTGGGGGGCCAAGCTCAGGAAGGATAATGAAGTCTTGACACAAAGGGTAGGAGGCAACATCCAATTTCTTTAATGGCTTTTTCCAGCTGTCATCCTACCCGCCCCCCACACAGCCAGCCCCCAACTTACACATGAATCAGACATTCTCAACACTCTCACACTCCCCTGGGGAGCAGGACAAGGACCTGGAGGGCCCAGAGCAGGCACATGGTGTTAGGAGAGGAATGTGAGCTGACCTGTATCTGCTCAGCCCATGGGACACAAGGAGAAGAGGGGTGGGAATGCTGTGAGGAGTCGGCTGTGCCTCAGGATCTCATGGGCAGCAGGAGCCCCTGGCTGGGAGGTGGCTGTGGGGTCACATCTGTCACATCCCTCACAACTCAGCAGCAGCCTTAGATGTGGTCTGGCCCCAGGAGGTGCCCTGGAACGTGGTGCAGCAGCCATGCAGATCCCACCCGTGGAAATGTTCTCCCACTGTGCTCCTGAGAGCTCTTTCCATGTATTTTTCACCCCATTAAGCCCAAATCCCTGCCCTGCCCCGGCCCAGCTGAGCAGCACAGTCAGGTCTGGCCCTGCAGCAAGAAATGGAGGCAATGGAGGTCAGGGACAGGGACTCTGTGTCTGGAAAGCTCAGGAGATCATCAGCTCAGGCAGCTCCTGCTGCCCCAGGGCCAGGGCAGCCTCTCTCCATGGCTCCTCTGCTCACACCGGGAGGAGCCGCCGAGCCACTTGTTCCAACCCTGTCCCAGCAAGTGCCAGCCCCTTACTCCCACCACTCCTCCGTGTTGCTACTGCTGCTCCCAAAATTCATGAGCACACAAGCTCCCTAAGCTGGTTTGGAGTTCCAAAGCTGCCTAAATGGGGGCTACTGAGCCCAAAATCTGCTTCACTTGGTCTTTTGGAGCCCAAAAGCTCTTTCAATCACTCTTTCTGAGCTGAAAATATCCCTAAATCGCTATCCCTGACCCAAAGCTCCTGATACCAGGTTTCCTGAGCCTCAACCTCCCCAAATTGGGGTTTCTTAGGCCCAAGGTTCCCTAAATTGGTGTTTTGGAGCACCAGGGCTCCCTAAATCATTCTTTCTGAACCCAAATGCAACCTAAATTGCCCAAATCCTCCTGGAATGCCTGTTTCTCAGCCCCAAAGCTCCCTAAATCGGTGTTTTGGACCCCAAAATGTCCTTAAATGAGTGATTCTGAGCCCAAAATCTCTCTAAATTGCTGTTTCTGAGCTCAAAATATCCCTACATTTTCTTTTTATTGAGCCCAAAGCTTGCTAAATTGGTGTTTCTGAGACCCAGAGCTCCCCAAGAGGTTTTTTTCCTGAGCCAAAAAGCTCCTGAAATCGTTGTTCTGCAACCCCAAAGCCCCCCCAGTCGATTTTTCTTAGCCCCAAAGCTCCTGAATTTACTGTTATTGCCCCAAACCCACCAAAACAGAGGTGTCTAAGCCACGAAGTTCCTGAAATTGGGGTTCCAGAGCCCCGAACCCCCCAACTCGAGCTCCGTGCCCTCTTTTCCTCTCCCTGGGGCTCCGGTTCCTCTCCCGCCCCGGGAACCGCTCCCCGCCCGCAGCATTTTCACTCGTGGTTTCCGAGAAAGCTGGAGGGAACCCAAGGGTTGGGTGGGGAGGGTGTACGGGTGGGGGTGAAGCCCACGGGGGTGGATCGGGAGCGGGCTTTGACCAGGAGCAGCCGCCGGGCCCTCTCCTCCCGCCGCGGAGCCGCCGGTGCCCGACCCCGGCCCGGTAAGTGCAGCCCCTCGTCCCACCTCTGCCCTGCTGGGCTGCTGCTGCTCCCGCAGCTCATGTTTCTGCACCCAGAGCTCCCTAAAGCGCTGGGTTGGAGCTCCAGAGCCGTCTAAGTGGGGGCTACGGAGCCTGAAATCTGCTCAAATTGGTCTTTTGCAGTCCAGAAGCTCTTTCAATCACTCTTTCTCAGCCAAAACTCTCCCCAAATCACTCTCCCTGACCCAAAGCTCCCGACAACAGTTTCTCTAAGCCTCAGTCATCCCAAATTGGGGTTTCTTAGGCCCGAGGTTCCCTAAAGTGGTGTATTCTGAGCCCCAAGGCTCCCTAAATCAGTGTTTCTGGACACAAATGCACCCTGAATTTCTGTTTCAGGCCCCAAGAGCTCCCTAGGTGAGTATTTCTGAGCTCAATAATGTTTCTGAGCTCAATTTCCCTAACTGGAAATTTCTGAGCTCAATAACTGCCTAAAACAGAAATTCTAATGCCAACATCTCCCTAAATGAGTGTTTTTGAGCCAAATGCTCCTTAAATTGGTGTTTTTCAACACCAAATTTCCCTAAATCAGAGTTTGGATCAGTTTCTCAGCCGGAAAGCCCTTTAAATCACTGTTTCTAAGACGCAAAGCTCCCATAATTGGTGTTTCTGAGCCTAAATGCTCCCAAAATCAGTATTCTAGCACCTTGATATGATAGTTTCAGTCTAGGCCTTCTTGGAGACCAGCTTGTAAGCAGGAAGGAACTAGGGAAGTGACCCAGGAAGTATTCCATGCTGTTCCTTTACGTAACATGAAGTATAAATAAGCTGGTCAGAGAGACCTCGCCCTCTCTTCTCCCAGCGAGGTTTGGGAACGGAAGGTCCCTGCGTCGGCCTTGCTGGTCTGGAGCTGAGGCTGCAACGACTGCTGTTGTGTGAGGGGACAGTGCTGGGCCGGGTCTGGCCGTCCTGCTTTTCTCAAGGGAAGTGGTGAGACTTTGTTAGTTCTTTATTTTGTTGGTTACCGGGTTTTTCGATTGCGCAGACCTGTTTTGTTTTTGTCCATTTTTGTCCCTTTTTGTCCCTTTTCCCTTTTTCCCTTCCCCTCTTTCCCTTTTGGGAGCGATTTGGGGTTCCTGTGTTTATATGTACATAGCGCCTTAATTGTATATCTGTAATTTATGTAAAATATATATATTTTATATAGCTTTCACTTTTCCATTTTTTTCTTCTCTCTCCCTCTTGGGAGCTTTTCTTCTGTAGCCTGTGGGGTTTGGCAGGAAGCCAGCTACAACCGGCTACACTTGAACTGCCCTAACTCGAGCCACATGGCCTGTTTCCCATCACATTGTGGGTTTTGGAGGCTAAAAATTCCAGTGCCACCCCAGTGCTCCCAGCATCACTCGCTGGCTTCCCCCAGTGCTCCCAGTATGGCTCTCTGGCTCCCCCCAGTGCTCCCAGTATCACACATCAACCCTCCACTTTCCACTCCCAAGTCTCCTCTGAAGCACCGTAGGGGAGTTTCCCACGCCAGGGCCTGGATTTTGGAGCTCATCTCTAAGGGGGTGGGGGCAGGAGAAGATCCTGCCCAGCCCTTTGAGCTCTCAGCTCTGGAGCTTCGTGGTTTTCCTTCAGCTCTTCCCATTTTTCTCTTCTCCAGGTGAAGGTCCTGGGTCGTGACATGCCCGGGGAGCCTCGGCAGGGCAGCTCCAGGCGGGAGGTGTCCTTGGTCACAGCAGCTTCTGTGACCAAATACTCTGGAGCAGCCCAAGAGCTGGATGGGAGGTAGGAGCTCTGGGAAGTGAGCGGTTTTCATGGCACTGTGGGATGGTTTGGAAGGCTGTGCCTGAGCGCTGATGGAGCACAATGGAAGGGGAGAGGCTGTGCCAGAGGGAGTGTCAGGGAGGATGAGGATGGTGTGAAGGAGCAGCTTGAATATATGGAGATCCTCAGCAAGATGGGCAAAGGTTAAGTTGACTTGTGTGAGTGAGCAGCGGAGAAGTCAGAAAGGGAAGGACACTGTCTTGGCACTTAGAAATTCTAGAGAAGTCTGAGAGCAACCCAGAGAAGCCTTGAGGCCAATGACTTGGTCCTGGCCCCCAAGCTGGTCAGGGATGTGATCATCAGTGTGAGCCTGGGCTGTCCCAGCCCTGAAATAGTGGGGTCCCAGGCACCAAAGGGCAGCGAGTAAGGCCAGCAGCAGAGCACACAGCTGGGGCTGCAGAGGAGAAGACTTGGATGAACTTGGGGCATGGGATGGTGGCATGGGAAGCAGATCTGAAGGGTGAAGGAGCTCAGGAAATCTTACAGGGCAGGCTCTTCCAAGGACAGGAATGATCTCTCCAGGTACCCCTGACTAAACACTCATCTCATGGGGCTGCTTGGCTGAACTACCTGAGCTCCAGGGCAAAAAGGCAGCACACGGGAGGTGGAACACATGGACCAGCAGCAGCAGAGAAAGCCAACAGCATCCTGGGCTGAGTGAGCAGGAGCACAGCCAGGGGAAGGGTTTAACCCCTCAGCTAAGCACCTGGTCCACCACACCTGCACAGTGACAGGGACACTGTGGCAGTCAGGAACCACTTCACTGGGGGGGCACTGAAGTGGGAATCCTCCAGTTGTCCTTCAAGTGTTGGTGAGATTTCCCTAAGAATATCAGTGTCTACAACAACAAAAACCAGCAGAAAAGCATGACTGCCTAAGCAGGAACACCTGCAGCAGAGCAGTCTGCCCCTCTGGGCAATGCCAGTGGAATCGGGGTTTGCAATACACAGCATGACCCCCCATCCACAGCAGACCTTAGGGCAGGGACTGTCCCTCTCTGCTGGGCATGACATTCTGGGCTCTGGAATATCCCTCTGGCCCATTCAGGTCACCTATCCTGGCTGTGCTCCATCCTGGTTTCTTGTGCAGCTCCTCCCAGGCAGATCATGGACAACTGAAAGGTCCTTGACTTGGGGTGAGCACGACTGAGGCACAACCGAAACACGGGTGTGTCATCAATGTTATTCTCCTAAATTCACACCAGGCAGGCTCGTCCCTGGCTCTCATAAAGCCCAGCAAAGGCCCTGGGGTGGATCATAGGGGAGCAGCAGGGTTCAGCCCTTGTTCCAGCAAACCCCAGGGAAGGCAAAGGCTTGGCAGTTCACAGCCCCTTGTCTCTCTTTGCTGCCCCCCCAGATCTTCTCAACTGCCTTCTCTTCTCTAGTCCTGTGCCCACCCCATAGATTTTGCTCCCCTTTTCTCTTGCATTGCAGAGTGAACCCTGAGAAAAGGACCTGGGACAGAACAAGCATCTAAGTCATTGGAGGAGCTGGTAAGAGCTGTGTTTCTTCTGTTTGAACAGTGATAGAAGGGAAAATATGTGATTTTAAAAACCTCAAGTACATCAGAGGTTTGAGCAGTTAAGGGATATGTGTTTCCCCAAAAAGCTCCTTCATGCATTCTTCAAATCTGGAGGGAAAAGTCCTAGTGAAGTTTCCTTTTTTTCTTTTTTTTTTCCATGTGAACCCAGTGGGCAGAAATGGAGAGCTGGTGGCAGAGTGTCCTAAGAGATGTATTTGGGATAAGTAGGTGTGCTGGATCCCATTCCTCTTGCCTGTGGTCATCTGAAAGTCTTTGAGAAGACAGGTCCAAATGAAAAGGCCAAGGGACAATGAAGGGCCCTGAGAGGTCCCTCTCCACTCGTGCAGTGTGGAGGAGGAGTGTCTCACACTTTGGGGGTGTCTCTGTTCTGGTGGGACTGTGCTGAGGCACCTGTGTGGTGCCTGAATGCTGTGGCAGCCGAGGCAGGTTCTTGGCCAGGAGAGCCTGAGTGGCCTCGAAGGTCAGAGCCCCCCCAGCGCTGCTGTCGGGCTCTGGTGCACAGGACCTTGTGGTTCCAGGGCCAGCTGGGTGGTGTGTTCTGCCCCAGAACCTGCTCAATGCATTCCAGGAGTTCCTCAGGGAAAGGTCCTTCTTAAATATCCTCTTTTTCTTTTATTTTCATGTGACCCTGATGCACAGTTGCTATGGTTGGTCTGAAGCTGGCCGGTGTGGCCATAGACGAATTCCATGAGCATAGAGGTGAGTGAGCTGATCCCATTCCTGGTGCCTGTGCTCATCCCTGGGAACCTCTGGGATGTGAGGTGTTATCCCTGAGAGAAGCAAAGCCTCTCAGCATGTTACATGCAGAACCCCTTCAGTGCACAGCAGGAGGCCTGGCCTTTGGGGTGGGGTGAGTTTGGTCAGAGGGATGTCCCTCTTTGACCAGAGACACGTCCTGCTCTAGCAGAGGGTATCCCTCACAATTGGTAAGGATTGAAAGACATAACACAGCACTTTTGGGATTTCCTTTCCTTCCCTTGACCACTAAAGGAGGAATCTCCTCCTGGGCTTTCCTCCAGGGCCAAAAGGGAGAAGCCTTTCCGTGCAGGTGAGGGCCAGGACTTGCCCACGCTACCTGGAAACTAAACCCTGCCGAACAAAGAGAAGAGACAAAGGCCTGTTGTGCATGAGGGCCCAGCACAGTGAGGTCAAATAGTCCCATCTGTCCATAAATTCCCACTTCCAAGGGCCTCCAGAAGTGCTTTGCTGTATTTCCCACCCTCATTCAGGTGTCCAGGCCCCCAGGGTGCAGAGCTGCCCCGGCAGTGGCTTTGCCCAGCACAGCCTGGGCTCTGCTGGCTCCCATCCTGCCCAGGTTCTAAGGCAGCTGTTTGTCTGTCCCTGCTCTTTGCAGCTGGCATGAGGGCAGGGCAATGTTCTTCCCTCAAGGAACCCTTGGAAATCAGCAGGGCCTGGGCTCTCCCCCGTGGCCAGGCCCTTGGGGAGTGAGGGGGCAGGGGGCTTCCTGTCAATGCTCCTCTCCAGCAGCACAGGAGCTCCAAGCCCATGTTTCTGAGGGCTCACAGTGGTGCTGAGACTCCTTTCCACAAACAAAAGTTGGAAGATAGAAAAAGTCTCCATGTCCCAAGGAAGACTGGAGCTCCAGGAGAGAGACCAAGGCTCCTTCCCGGAGCAAACTCCTGGTGGGAAAGGGTTTGAAAGCTGGGGAAGAGATCACTAATGGTGGCCACAGTGCATCAGCTTGGGAATTCCCCAGCCCTGTTTTTCAGGGATGAGTGAGTTCTTTTCCAAGGCTGCTGAATTAGAAAGGATTCTCTAAAGAAAAAGCAGTGTGGAGCAAACAAATTAGTAAACAGGCTGGACATGAGGGACCTGAGTCTGAGTTTCTTGTTCCCTCCCTGCATGAAGAAATAAGACAAAAAAGCCCATTTACATGTTTCACCTTGAGTGCAAGGTTTAATTCCTCTGAAGTGAGTATTTCTCAGGAGGAGAGAGGAATTAAAGACAACCTGGAGGAAGGCCTAAGAAGAGACCCTGAAGAAGAGACTTGAAAACAGGGGATCTGAGCATACTCAGGGCAGACGGGTGGTCTCCCCTTCAAGGGGGCAGTCTCAGTCTCCCAATGACACCTGTCTTTTTTCACAGAAAGAAAAAGGGAAGCCAAGGCCTCAAAGGCCCAGGAATCTTTGATGAAGGAGGACTTCCAGGAGCTCATCCAACAAGTGAAAGCTATGCGTGAAGATCTCTAGAAAGGGCAGGAATCCAGTAAGTGTGATATTCAGCTGCTCAAAGACCTGAACAGGGAACTAAGTGAGCAGGGCCATTCCCAAGCAGACTTCCATCTCTCTGAACACCAAAGCTGCTCTACAGGCAAACCACTCTGAGAGCTCGTCCTGCACAGCTCCTCAAAGGGGCTGGAGAAGGACGGCCCTGACATGGGGCACAGCTTTTGTGCTGCCTGACCCTGAAACAGCTCCCTGCTGAAGTGTTCTCTGCAGGTGGTCATGGCCACACTTGTCTCCCTCACCTCTGCAGAGAGTGTGTGCTGTGAGTTCTCTGATCCCCTGATCCTTGTTAAGGTTCCCCCCTCGCAGTCCTGTCAGCATCTCTCTCCCTTTCCCCACTCCCCTTCTCCCACTCCCCACTCCTGGGGTTGTGTTGGGGCACATGTGATCCCAACCTGAAGATCCACAAGGAGACCCAGCTCCATGAGCACTGCAGGTGTCTCTGAGCACAGGGGCCTGTGGAGAACAGCTCTCCCTGAAGGAGCTGGTGCTGGGAAGGGGAAGGAGTCAGCTGGGACACAGACACCAGTGTGGACCTGAGTTTCTTGTCCCCTCCCTGCTAAGGGACAGAGGGCAAAGGGAAAACCATCTCAACATGGTAACTGCATTGTAGAATGGAATTCCTGTGAGCTGAGGATTTCTAAGGGGGAGTGAGGAAGGAAAAATACACTCAGAGGAGAGCCCTGCTATTTCCTTTTTAAATTGTTATTTTTGTACTTTTATCTCTTCATTATATGGAGAGGACCTAGTATAATATGCCCCTTCACTGTTGGAGAGGGGTAGGGAGAGGTTGAAACAAAAGGGGAGTGACTTGTTTACAATCTCAATCCACCAGTAACTGTGCAAAGCCATCACAGTCAGTGACCCAGGATCATTGTTCTGCCTTCACAGACAGGAAAACGAAGAAAATGGCGAAGGCCCAGAAATCCAAGATGGACAAGGAATTCCACCAGCTCCGCCAAAGAATTCAAACTCTGGAACAAGAACTACACGATAGGCAGGGGTCCAAACAGCACATCCTTCAGCTCTTCAGAGCAGAAATGGAGATGGAACATGGTGAGCAGGGCCATTCCCAAGCACTTCCATCTCTCTGAACACCAAAGCTGCTCTACAGGCAAACCACTCTGAGAGCTCGTCCTGCACAGCTCCTCAAAGGGGATGGAGAAGGACGGCCCTGACATGGGGAGAGACCCAGAGAAGCTGCCTTCAGTCCTGGGAATCACCACCACAATCCATCCCGTGACTAAAGGCCACTTGTCTGGGCCTCTGCACACAGGGAACAAACAGCTTTTGTGATCTGTGACACTGAAACAGCTCCATGCTGAAGTGTTCCCTGCAGGGGGTCAAGGCCCCTCTTCTCTCCCTTGTCTTTGAGGGCAGTGAGGACAGCTCTGACCCGATGGGTGCTAAAGGTGTCCACTCCCAGTCCTCCCACACACTCACCTTCCTCATGACAGAGGGTTGTCTCCCATGGCCCACGGATGCTGTCTGCAGACGGGGAGGGGGATGATCCCTACCCCCCATCCTGCCCCCCAGGCCTTTGCCAAGGCCTCAGGAAGGCTCACAGGGCCTGGGCTCTTTCCCCAGCCCTGCTGCAGTCAACCCATCCAAGCAATTCAAGGAACCTGGTCAGGAATAAGTGCAGGCACCAGTCCAGGCTCAGGGCTGACCCTCTGGCAAGTAGCTGTGCAGAGAAGGCCCTGGGGGTTCTGGTGGACAGAGAGCTGGCCAAGGGTCAGCAATGGCCAAGAAGGCCCAAGGCTGCCTGGGCTGCCTTCGGAAGAGCTTTGCCAGCAGGCCAAGGGAGGAGCAGCCCTGGTGAGGCACATCTGGAGTGCTGTGTCCAGTGCTGGGTTCCTCAGTACAAGGGAAACATGGAGCTCCTGCAGCGGGTCCAACTGAGGCTGCAGAGATGATCAGGGGCTGGAGAGGCTGAGGGAGCTGGGCCTGTTTAGTCTGGAGAAGTCTGAGAGGGGACGTCATCAGTGGACACAAGTGTTTGAAGGGTCAGGAGGATGGAGCCAGGCTCTTCTGGGTGGTGCTGAGCAATAGGATAAGAGGCAATGGGCAGAAAGGGAAACAAAGCAATTTCCACCTGAACACAAGGAAGAATTCATTACTGTGAGGGTGACTCAGCACTGGGGCCAGTTCCTAGAGAGATTGTGGCGTCTCCTTCTTTGGAGATACTCAAAAGCCAACTAGACATAATCCTGAAGAATGGTCTCTAGGAGACCTTGCTTGAGCAGGGAGGTTGGACTAGAAGACCTCCAGTGGTCCCTTCCAACCTTACCCAGTTGGTGATTCGCTGAGGGTTTCATTACATTTCCGAATTATTTCTGTGGACTTCTTTGGATATGGTCCAAGATCTTCTAATGAGTCTTCTCTCCTGGAGAGGATCTCAAAGACGTGGTCAGGTCATAATTTACTTCTCTTATCGTTCTTTGCTCTGACACACAACCCTCGTTCTCAAAACTAAGACATCTCCTAGTCCATATCAGTCACTGACACAGGGAAATAAGGGAGCAGGAGGTGGCACAAGACTATCAGTCACAGATGTGGGATCAAACACTATTGTACTAAAGTTAAAAGAATTTTCCAACATCTTCCCCCACTGCTGCAGACACTCCTTTTTAAAAGAAAATATAACTTGTTTGGTAACACTCCCGACCACCCAGGCACCCCCAGCCCCCTCCCCAGAGTGGCAGCACCAGGAGCAGAAAAGGCCTTGTCTCTGTGTAAGCCCCACCCAGCAATAACGAAAACACCTCTGTTATCATCCCCGTGTTCAGCACAAATCCCAAACAGCCCCACAGCAGCCCCTGGGAACAAAAGGAACTCTGCCCCAGCCCAAACCAGCACACAGGACCCAAACTACCCTGGAACTTTCTCCTCTGAGTGGTAAAGGAGACAGGGAGGAGTGGGGCCAACCACAAGGGCCAGACAGTGTTCAAAACAACTGCCATCAAAACCTGACAGCACTGAGGGAGTTTTCATCAGAAATGGCCTTGACTTCTCTACCCTCAGCTCCTGCAGCGATGTTTCTGATACAACGGCTTTGGAGCCCAGCCCCATGTGTTGCTGTATTGCACCTCCTTTATCTCAGCTTGTTCTAATATTTGATCACCCTCACTGCAAAAAGCTACCAAAAACCTTTTTTCACACATTTATTGGGAATTTCTCATGTTGCAGCTTGGGTCTGTTACCTCTTACCTGATGAAGGCACATCTCCAAGAAGATAGAGAGAGAAGTGTAGCCAGGACACTGAGCCCCAAACCAGTCCCCGAGTCTTACAGACATTGTTACCTGGGGGGGGGGGGGGGAGTCTCCATCCTTGGGGATATTCAAAAGCCCCTGGAGGAGGTTCTAGCCACCCAGCTCCAGGTGTCCCATCTGGGTTGGACCAAATGATCTCTGGAGGTCCCTTGCAACCTCTCCTTGTCTGTGTTTCTGTGATTCTGTACAGGGCACGAGACATCTGAAAACACAAGTTTCAGAACCTACAAAGTCAGATGTAGCTGGATCTCTACCCAATTCCTGTGTGTGTTTAATTTTCACTTCCTTTGGCTCTTTAATCTTTTGCAGGTGTGCCGATAGAAAGTGCATCAGAAGACGAGGGCACTGACACAGATGCATAGACATCTCCTGAGCAGGTGAAGCATTGATCAACAAAATTAAAGTCTGGCTCTCATTACATTTCTCTTGAGCTTGGCCCCCCACCCCCTGCACTCCCTGGGCTCTCTGTGTCGGGAAGTGCTCGTGCTGCTGGAAGACTGAGACAATTTTAAGGCTTTTCTCCCTCCTGTGAGCTGGTTCCTGCTGTGCCAGGGCAGATCCATCCACTGCCCAGTTTCAACAAGTGAAGGCAACAGCAGCCAAAGTGCAACTGAATTACCCAGCGAGCTCTACACAAAGTCTCAGGGCAGAGTCCTGGAAATCGTGGATTTTAAGTGAATGAGCCTTTCCAGCAGCAGCAGCACAGCTGGGCCCTGGGTTCAGAACCAGAGCCTCGATCCCACTGTGGTTTCTGCACTCCAGCAGAGCTCTGCCCTTCCTGTGTGCCAGGAATTTGGAGGCTGCTGCTGTTCTTTCCAAATGTGTTGATGTTGATGAAGTCCTCCAGGACAGGGGAGGGATGATGAGCTTCTCCAGCTGTTCTTCACACAGACAGTCCATGGGTGAGGGTCAATGAGATGGCTGGAATGGAGCTTGAGGCCGGAATACTTTTAACGCAGCTCAGACAGGAAACCAAGGCCAAGCCTGAGCTGACATGGAAGTTCTGGAATGTAGATGGAGCTCCTGAAGCCCAACTGGAGTTTCAGGGTATCTGGATGGAGCTGAGCTCCCAGTTGCCCTGTGAGGGTGAGTAACGGGGTGGCCGACAGCACAATCTACTGGGTGCAAGAGCTGAGAGCATCAAAAGAGGGAAAATTGTTCCCACTCTTTTTTTTGTTGTTGTTTCAAGTGAGGGAAATAGTTCAAAATTGCCTTTGGATAACACCTGAACACTGTTCCTTGTAATCTCCTCGATCAGAGCAGGGACTCCAGGGCATGGTGAGCAGCAATGGCTTCTGCCCTGCTTATTCTGCCCTGCTCTGGTCATTGGATCCCAGAGACTCAGACACCAGTTGCCACCAGGAGCTGCCCAGCGAGGGCACTGTTGGTTTCTGTGAGCTCAGGCCGTGGGCTGTGTGTCAGAGGCACTTGTGGGGCTTTGTTCTGTCCCAGCCCTGCAGGAGCTGCTGGGCCAGGACCTTCAGGAAGGTGAGCTGGGCTCCAGGCTCAGCTGGGGTGGGCATCCCAGTGCTGTCATCAGCCTCCAAGGAATTTTGGGGCTGCATCCCCCCCTTCACCGTGGGATGGGCACCATGCCCCAGACCCACAGCTTGCAAACACCTTTAACCTTCCTTACTTCCTCCTCCCCCCAGCTCTCTGAGCTAATTTTAGCTGCCCGCAACACCTAAACTCAAGCCCAGCTTTGAAACAAGAACTGGTTCTTACTGGTCCCTTCCTCTGCCCTCCCCTGCAGCAGCTCCATCGCAGCAGCCGATTCCTCCCCTGTGCAAACCAAGCGAGTTCCTGCTCAGGCTGGGAACTGGAGAGAGGCAAATCCCTGATTTGGGGCAGTTTCCTCCCAGGACATTCAAGCACCATTTCCCCTTGGCCAGGTTTAGGTGATTTCAGCCTTCAAAGAACCAGGACTCGCTTTGTTTTTCCAACTCAGCCTTGGCTCCTGCCGGCTCTGTGTGCCCTGGGAAGGTGTTGTCTCAAGGACTTGCACAACTGTGAGGTGTTTTCAGCCCCAGTCCCCACTCCAGACCCCCCAGGTCACCCCACAAGGTGCTGGACGGCCCTTCAGACCCACCTGAGCCCACCCCCCGTGTGCCCACCCTGTGCAGGGCAGCTCGGGGAGCCCCTGGGACAGGGGATGGTGCCTCTGGACCTGCCTCCCAAAGGGACTTCTGCCACCCCTGGGGGGGCACAGAGGGGACAGGGGCACCCTCAGCTCCTCCTGCCACGAGCTGATCTGGGACAACAGCCCCAGATCCCAGGGCCTGGGCAGGTCCTGCTCCGTCCTGGGGCTTTGCCAGGATGCTCCCATGGTCAAAATATCAAACCACAAAAAGCTGATAGTCCCTGAGACTACCCCCCAGGCAGTCAGAGCCTTTTTCTAACCCTCTTCCTTTCCCCAAGGCTCGTTTCTGTTCACTGTTTCCTGTCCCAGCCTGTGCTTGCTCCCGTTACCACTGCTCCAACCTCCCACATTGGACATATTTTCTCTCCTGGTTCATTGTTTTTCCTAAATTCTTTTCCTGCTCTACCTTTCCCCAAGACAAAGTTAAAAATTAATAGGTTCAGCAAAGCAAAACTGATCCTACAAGAGTGATTTGGGGAATATTTATAAGGAAAAAAACCAAAGAAACAGGACAAGAATCCACTGACACAGCATGTGGATGCTGCTGGTGGGTCACTGGCAGCTGCAAAGAGTTTCCACATTTATTAAAACTCTCTCTAAACCCTGACATCAACAAATTCAAATTAGTACCAGCCCCTGCACCCAGCATTTGCTCCATAGCGAAATATTCTCCAGGTAAGAACCCTCTGCCTGTGTTTGCAATGTAAGAACCAAAAGGATCATTTTTCCCACCCAAACACTTGATTTTTGAATAAGGTTTAAGTGATGCAGCAGTTTTTTACTGTCCCCAACCCCCAAATTCCTCCTGCCCCAGTGTTACGACCCACCCCAGGAAAAGGGGAGAGGGGGTAACTCAGGTTTTTATCAATAATTCCCTTGGGGTGGATTAGAGTGAAACGACACTAAATAATCGGTGTCTGAAAACATATACTGGCAAGGTTTATTTTAACAATTCTGTATCAACAGGCATGCTAGCAGTTTGCTAGCATACAACAGCTGTCGTACAACAATGTGACACAGAGATAACCTTGGGGGGGGGGGAAGAAAATGCATAGGGGAGAGAAAGGCAGGATAAGAGCAAGGGAGAGTAAGGGAAAGAAAAGCTGAGAGTGGGCAGATGTATATAGTCACCGCCCACGGGGTCCAGCGATGCTTCCATGTCCGTCAGTTGAACTGGTGGCCTTGATCTGCTGGGGGTGAAGGAGGGAAGCCCCCATACTCCAAGAAGTTATGGGTTATTATATCCATGGTTAGTGTCACGGGCCGTACCTCGAGCCTCCAACATCTCCTGGGTCTGTGCTGAGTTTTTTGTGTCTCGCCTGGTTCCCGCCTTTCAAGATTAGCAGAGGGAGGGAGGGGCCTGATTGCTCAGCAGATGTATCAACAGTCAAAAGCCTGCAAGCTCAGCTCTTGCCTTTTCAGGGCTTCACACCTTCAGCACTGGAGGGAGGGAGGGGCCCAATTGCTCATCAGAGGTATCATGCAAGTCAAAAGCCTGCAAAAGTCTCCTAGAATACATAAATCATTAACCATTTCAGTCTCTGACACCCAGGCTGCAGTTTAGGGCATTTTGGAGTGAAAAACAGGTGGAGTTGGAAGACGAGGAGAAAACAGATCCACTGGGGAATAACAGAGGATCCTACCATGGAAAATACTCCCAAAGGCACAGGGTTTGGGGGGAAAAAAGGACTTTTGTGTCCTAAAGAGCAGTTCAAAACTATTACAGGCCACTAGAGTTGTGGCCTTTTTTTTTTGGCTGCCCAGGGAAGGGAAATGAGTCCACAAGTGCACGTGGGAATTATTCAAAGGGTCTTTTCTGTAGTGACCAAAAGAGAGGGAATCCAACCAGTCAACAGGAATTTCTACTTTTTATCTGAAAATAAAAGAGTAATTCAGCCCTGACCTGAGGTGTCCCTGCAAGGAGACACCTGGGGGGGTCATTGGACCCCAAAGTGGGACCCACAGGCTGGGATGGAGGGGAAGGCCCTGGGGAGACAGAGTGGGATGTGGAGAGGAAGCTGCCTATTATTTCTCCTCTTAGGCTCACATCCTCCTTCCCCCTCACAAATTCTCTCTGGATATGGCACAGCAATCTTGGGAAGAGAGAACTAAGCTCAAATCCAAACTTGCTTCGTCCTGGTCCAGCCCAGCCCCCCCTCCCCCAGTCTGGCCCACAACCACCACCCTGGTCCGTCCGGCCTGGGAACCCAAGGGATGCTCTGCAATCCCATCAATGGAGCAGAATTCACTCTCCTCCCCTTGACTCACTACAGGGTAACAAGCGCCATCTCCCTGCCCACGACACACCAGATCTTGTACCCAAGGCATCAGAAGTGGTGACAAAGCCTCGTTCAGCTCAGCCTTGGCTGCAGTTTACCCCCACTGTCAGGGCAGATGGAATGGGCCGTGAAGAGAGAGCACAGCTGGACCCGGCCCTGTGGGACCCCCGGGCTCAGGAGGGCGATGCCAGCTCAGTCCTGCCCTGTCCCTGCTCCCGCTGACGCTGCGGCAGCACCTGGGGAGACAAGGGGGAGCTCAGGACCCGGCCCGGTCCCTCTGACTCTACAGCTGCTGCGGACCAGCTCCCGGTCGTGTCCCTGTCGTGACATGCAGGTGCCATCGCCTGGAAGCTCCTGGCCCAGGGCAGCTGCAGAACGGGCTCAGCCTCCCAAGGAGGAGGAACCAGCAGCCCCGAGGGTGCTCAGGATTGTGCCCAGCAGCCCCCGCCCAGGCACTTTGCAGCCCAGGAACACCTCCCTCCAGCCCAGGTGGCTCTAAGCTCGCTCCTAGCTGGCCGGGAACGCTGCCCTGCTGTAGGGCAGCCACATCTCTCCTCCCGAGAGGAACCGGACGAGGCAGCGCTGCTGCGGCAGCGGCTCCTTCCGAGCCCGCCGGGGGCTCAGCGCGGAAGGAGGAGCCCGTGGGCAGCCGCTCCCTCAGCGGCCCCGGGGAGGGGACCCGGGGGTCCGAGCCCGCCAGAGCCCGCTCCCCGCGGCGCCTCCCGCCCCCTCGGCCCGCAGCGAGCCCCGAGCCCCGGCAGGGCCGAGCGGGTCCCACCGCGCCGGGGCCGCGTCCGAGCTCCGCCGCCGCCTCAGCGAGTGCCCGCCCGCCCCTTGCACTTTGAACGCGATCCCACCTCCCTTTCCTCAAAGCCACGCGCTTTACGAGAAACAGCCCCGGCGATGTGCCCGGAGCCGCTGTTTCAGGAGTCACAGCCCTGGCGAGGTGCCCGGAGCCGCTGTTTCAGGAGTCACAGCCCTGGCGAGGTGCCCGGAGCCGCTGCTTTAGGAGTCACAGCCCTGGCGAGGTGCCCGGAGCCGCTGCTTTAGGAGTCACAGCCCTGGCGAGGTGCCCGGCCTGGCGGGACACCGGGGCAGCGCCGCTGCACTGAACCGGCTGGAGCTCCGTGAGAACCTGAGCTGAAGGGCCTGTGACCTGTGGATGAGTTCGGGATGGAGCAGAGTCCCTCCTGCAGCCCGGGGAGGAGCCCACGCCGGAGCGGGGGCTGCCCAAAGGAGGCCGTGACCCCGTGGGAAGCCCCTGCAGAGCCGTGGCAGCAAAGCCCTGGTGTCCAGGGCTGCCCCCCCGCCCGAGTTTGTTGGGTTAATCCCGAACTCTGCAACAAACCCTCTGCCCCAGGGCAGCAACCGATCGGTGACAGAGTCCCGGAGCGGTGCCAGGAGTGACTTGGGGGCAGGGGGTTCACAGGGACCCTCCAGCGCCCCTCGCTGCCCACGAGGGGGAAAACGAGCGTTCCTGGCCGTGGGATCCAGGGCAGGAACCAGCCATTCCATGTTCCTCAGCTGTTCCGTGTCCTGGGGCCATTCCATATCCCAGGGCCATTACCTATCCCTGGACTGTTCCATGTCCCCGGGCCATTCCCTGTCCCTCGACATTCCCTGTCCCAGCTGCCCCCAACATGCTCCTAGTCACTCCCGGTATGACCCCAGTATGACCCCAGTTACCCTCAGTATGCTCCCAGTTGCTCCCAATATGATCCCGGTTGCCCTCAGCATGGGCCAAGTTGCTCCCACTGTGATCCCAGTCTGATCCCAGTATCATCCCAGCCAATCCAAGTATGGTCCCAGTC